CATATTATAGCGGGCTGGCGGGCCAGACCCCATCCTTAGTTTGGGTGAACCAGTATAATTCTTGGTGTTTCTTTTCTTCCTCCATCACTTTCTTTAATTCAGTTTGATTTTCTTGGTTTAATACTTGATCAGATTTCTTAATATTTGAAATTGTTAATCTGTATCTGTAAGTTGCAACAAAGTTTGTAAAGATCAATTCACCCTTCTTCTTAGTCTCAGCCTATAATTCTAACAAATATTATTTTTTATTTGGATGGTAAGGAATTTTTTTCTTCTTCTTTCTACCAAAACATTATGAGGAGATTTTTTATTGCTTATAAACAAATTATTTATTTGCAAAACAAGTTGGATTTGGTCCGCCAATTCGCCTAAAAAATGACAGGACAGGTTGGTAGTTTTAGTCTGTAAGTCTGTTTTGGTTCATCCGGCTTAACTCGCCAACTTGGCAGTCAAACCCGTCGAACCGCTTTAAAAAATAGTTATATATTAAAATTAAAATAAAAATAATTATAGTTAAAATATTATATTTTTGTGTTATGTTATTGAAATATATAAATATATTATAATATTATAATTCAAATTATAAAAATTAAATAATTAAGTTTAAATGATTGATTATAGTTAGTTATTTTAATACATAAATATAATTTTTTAATTTATCTAATAAAAATATTAATTAATAAATAAAAACTTAAAATTATTCATATAATTAAATATATTTTTTTTAATACATATAAAATATTAGGTTGTTGCTTCCTACACCCCCATAATTTCTTCATGCACCTCCATACCCCAAGTCAAATACCTAAAATACCTTTTCCATAATTTTGTTTTTTACCCTACCTTCTTCTTCTTCTATTTGTGTATAACTTCTACACCTCCATCCCTAAGCACCTCTCTCTATCCCTTGGTTATTTAATTTTTTTTTGTTATCACCTTCATTGAAGGCCTTTTCTAACAATAAAGGTACATAGTTATTAATATTATGTATGAATTATATGTTTCTGCACTCAAATTGTAAAAACAGACACAAATTACTTAATATGAAAGTATCACGAAAATGAGGTTAAATTTTGTAATACTCAATCCGGACTACATTTCCATATTGTCTTTTCCAGAAACGCATTCTAGAACACCATTCCAGAATACTATTATGGTGGGTAGGATGCATTTCTGGAAATCAATTCCGGAAAATACATTCAGGAATATATTTCTAGAATTAACTTTTTGAAAATGCATTCTAGAAAGCACTTTCCGAAATATGTTGTTCGAAAAAAATTTCAATTTTTTCACTCCCTGCAATGTATAAGGGTAAAATGAGGTTTAATTTAATTATAGGGGTGCAGGGAGATTATGGAGGTGCAGGAAGCAACAACCAAAAAATTATTGGCAGAGCATACTAGGGTCTATAACGCATTCTGACTATGGTGGGTCAGTCCGCTTCATTCCGTTTTTGGGGGCTAGAAGCGAACAGACTGACTCATTTTGTCATTCCTATTTTGTATTTTGTAGTAGGAAACTTAGACGATCAATTGACATGTGGTCTCTTAGAATAGGAATAAACATAATACAACAAATAGGTATTGTCAGTCTAACAAAACTAAGCTCCAATGTTTTATTCTTGATGAAGTTCATGACCCAGAGGCAGGATGGAAAAATACATCTATTTGGGAGGATTTATGGGTGGTAGAGCACTAATCAATTGGAAATAGAATCAATTCAAAAATCGATTCTCCTTCATTAAAAATAGATTCTCTCAAGCATTGCTCCCTCTTTCTATACCTATCTCATCAAGACACAACTTTAAAAACAATCAACTTCTGCACGAACTAATCATCACCCAACTTAAGAAACAACCACATGAAGCATAACAGAAACAACCCTTGCACAAACACCCAACTATAATGATTTTCACATGTTTTTAATGACATCCAAAAGCTCCACTACCCCATCTACTGCACTCCCTGGTTTTTAATGGTATTGAAAACCTTAACTACCTTCGTCCATGATTAACAAAATAGAGAATTGTCAGTGTGCGTGACTAGAAATCTATGTTACAAAGAGAATCTTACATGCATCTGTCGTCCAAACAGTAAAACTGATAAAAGGGAGTGTAAAATTATAAATGGTGATGTGTATTTCTCCGCTCATCTTCTCACTCTCGTGAAGAATTTTCATCTCATCTTTCCCTCCAATTCGCATCCTCGAATCCTCACTTATTGTTTAAAATAAACACAACACCCACTCACTATTACATCACAAATAATAAATTAATAGAAATAAAAGCATGCTAACAAAGCAATTTTTTCTTTCCAATTTTCAAACTACTTTTTTGCTTTGCCCATATATTTGCGCAATACATGATTAAAAAAATTTCAAGTAACTTTGTTATTTTATTGATTTTAGATATTATATTATAAATTTAAAAATGTTACAAATATTCCAATGATTACAAACTAATCATTAACCATTATATATTAGAGAGTGGTGATTAATTCATACAATTTCTTCTAATATATAGGTTGGAAGATTGGGTGATCATAATTTATTTACATTTTATATTAATATAAAAGGAAAGTAAGATATATTTAAATATGTTCTAAATAAACCATCCTAGTTGTATCATAGGGAGAACCATTAATTTAAGAAATTGGTTGGTCAATTAAATTAATTATATACTTTGTAACAAGCAACCTATATTATAATATAACTCTCAGACGTGTTTGTTGAGACTTGTAAAAGTCAAAGTTGCATTTGAATTCAGTACATGCAGATTCATTCAATATTTCTATGAGAGAAAATGGGTTTACATTAACCTAACATCATCTTTGGATAACACAATTCAAGTACATGAAAAGTTGGGTTATGGGTTGGATAACACATAATTCAAGTACACTTGGAATTTGAGTTATACTTTGATATATATTAACATTTTCATTCTTATCCACTTTCGATCAACTTCCGATTCTGATATCACTTGTTAGGCCTTTCAAGAGAGATTTACAGAAGAGAAACATATCAATAAGACATGAGTATAATTCACATAATGATTGACACCACTCTTAACTAAAAACCTTTAAGGCATTAAGTTATAAGTCATTATTCCTTATATGTTACTCAATATTCTCATTCTTACCTGATGTGGGACTTAGAATCACACTTGTATTTCCTATCAATCTCCTCCTTAAATGTGAATCCCTCCATTTTGGTACATCCCTTTGAGTTCACTAGTGGTCCTTACATATACCGTCGTTCACCCTAATGTGACACGCTTATGTGATCCATTATGTTAGACAAACTTTCGATACAAAGACCACTCTGATCCACTGTCGATCAATCTTCGACTTTGATACCACTTGTTAGGTATTTCGAGGGGGATTCATAAGGGAGAAACATAGTAATGAGACATGAGTTCAACCCACGTAAATATTGACATTTTATTATTAGATAATCCAAGTGAGTTAAATCCTACATTGAGTATGAGAAAATTGAGCAACATATAAAAAATATGACTCATAATCTAATGCCTTAAGGTTATGGGTTGAGAATGATATCAATCTTTATGTGGGTTGAACTCAAATTTTATTGATGTTGTATATCTCCTAAAGACCTAAATCCCTACACAAAGACCTAACAATAACAAGTAACAAATAATTATTTTCTCAATGACTAACTTCTTTCAATGGTTACCGTTTTAATAATCTAAAAAGTTATTTTTTCTTCTTAAGTTACCATAAAATAAAATGCATTTTTCTTAATCTCATTCAACTTGTAAATACAGTGATTATAAGATGGAAAGAGTATTAATGCAATCAATTTCATGCCATTGATTGACTATGAGAATTAAAAGTGAAAAGTGATCAAATAGATTTGTGGAGAGTTGGGGAAGGTGGTTAAAAATGAAACATTGGTGAAGTGGAGACATTTCATGGTGGTTGGAAGTGGGAAATTTCACCATGAATAAGTGGCAAGAGATGGAGATGGAGATGGAGGACCAAATATTTCAGGTGCTATTATTATGTTTAAAACCATATTCCGCTATCTTTCTGTAAACTTAAAAAAATATAGAAAATTTAAAATTGTATAAAATAATTTTTACAAAATAATTTATGTAAGTTAATTTTTGCTTATATAAAACTTAATTTTAAGTTATTCTGTTAATTATTGTTTCTGTTTTAAAAAGAATTCATAGGTGAATTTGTTCAAACCTAAGGCATTGTTTGGGAATGAGAGAGAATAGAATAGAATATAAGGACGTGGTATCCAACGAAGAACTCGTTTTCATTGCTTTGTTTTCAACTTCAATTTTTAAGCCACAAATCGCGTTTTCTTTCATTCATTATTCAACGGTCAGAATAATGAAGAAGGTGAAGTGAACCCGTGTGCGTGCCCACTGTACAAACGTATGAGCCATGATTAACAAATAACAGAGAAGTTATTATTATTTATATAGCATGATAATCTCAAGATTATCTTATCATAAATGTATAGTAATGTAAATATATATTATAATCTATATGCGATAATGAAATGATTATGTTAGTACGGAAAACCGACATTTCAGTTGAACTCTTATTCTCCGCAGTGTTGCCACGTTGCTCCCATCAATACGGAAGCAGTTTACCGTTAATTGCGGTTTCCGTGTTAATATCTATCAAATTTCAATTGCAATTTTTCAAGTCTTTTATTTATTGCATTCACTATTCGTAGTTGGTCCACCTGTAATGTCATGACACGTACCCTTGCCGTGGCTTCCATTGTATTCTTAATCAATTATTATCTTTTGAAAATCGGAACACACTCGGCAACTTCTCAGGCTTCTTAGTATTTATCTTCTACACGACCTCCACACGCCCTTAAACCGACATCACAACATCTATAAGACCATGTTTTATGTTTAAGAGATTACAGCCAGAATAACTATAGTTTCCATTTTCGTAGACTTGTATCTTATTTTGTTACAGATACCACACTTTGTGTAGGTCTAAGTGTGTTGTGAGATGGGACAGCAGGTTGGTTTTGAGGATGTACTGAGATACTTTGATGAAGATGGTGATGGAAAGGTTTCACCTTGGGAGCTGAAGCACGGGTTGGGGATGTTGGGTGGGGAGCTGATGATGAAAGAGGCTGAGATGGCAATTGCAGCATTGGATTCTGATGGAGATGGGTTGCTGAGTTTGGAGGATTTTGTTGCTCTCATGGAAGGTGGGGGAGAGGAGCAGAAGTTGAAGGACTTGAAGGTGGCTTTTGAGATGTATGACAGTGAAGGGTGTGGGTTTATTACTCCAAAGAGCTTGAAGAGGATGCTTAAGAAGATGGGTGAGTCCAAGACCCTTGATGAGTGCAAAGCAATGATCAAACAGTTTGATTTGAATGGGGATGGCTTGCTCAGCTTTGAAGAATTCAGAATCATGATGCAGTGAGGCATGTATATATATATATATATATATATATATATATATATATATATATATATATATATATATATATATATATATATATGTTGGTTGGTTCTGTATAGTTGAGTCACTTGAGTTGACTGGATTTGATTGATTTATTTGTACATCATGTGTATAATAACTCTTATGGTGTATATTCTGGTTTAGCTGCTTCTCAGTGGTGACCAGATATTTATTGGACTTCTCTCCAACTCTTACATCAATAATTATTCAAACTTCCTTAATGGGAAGTGTATTTATTTAAAAAAAGACAAAATATTAATTTCTAAGTTCTAAACAAGGAGAGGAAAATAATATTGGTCAAGTAAATATTGTCTTTTAGAGATGCATGCTTTTCAATTCAAGAATTACCAAATATATATTAAATTCTGATATTTTAGCTTTATATGCATTTTTCTGTACTTGTACAGCTACATGTTCCAATATTATTATTGACTAGAAAATAGAGTATAGAATATTATAGTGAAAATTTTAATATTCTATTTGGGTATTGTGCAATCTTTCTTTCTAAGCATGGGAAAAATACATCTTTACGGAGAAAGAAAAAAAAAATGGAAGTTGCTATTTGCACTCTCTTATTCTGTTCGCACTGCTTGCATTTATTTTTGTCTGAATATTGTTAGCCACGTTACAGTAATGTATTGGGTGCTTCGGCCTGGTTGCAGAGATAATAGTAATCCTAACTTCCTAAGCGAAGAATAAGAGTATGGACAATTAAATTATTCTTCAAGATTGTTTTTTCTAAATATTTTGGTCTCTGATACTTTAATAATTGTTATTTTAATAAAATAAACGCCTGCCTAGTTTTCATTTCTTTAATTTTTGTTATTGTACACTAAAACGCCTGCCCGTCTAAAGACATTTACTTTGTTTGGCTTCGAAGCACTTTCACATTGCTTTATTCGATCTACCATATTTGTTTTATTGCACAAAGCATGATAAGAAGATGAAAGTTCTCACTCGGAAACAACAAATTTCATACATACTTTTCTCATAAGAATTGGAGGAATAACAAACAGATGGTACTGATTTTATTCATTTTGAAAAGTGTCCACAAATTTCAACGGACTGTTGGATTTTATCACAAATTTTATGTAGTATCAAAAACTAACCCCCACTATTTTTGTTTTCTGTTTGAAAAGATTATTGAAAGTAGAGTGTTGAACCAAGACATAAAAGTTGAAATTTTTTTCCATTGATTTGCATTCTTAAGGAAATTAAACTAAAGGGTTCTCTATGATATCATGCATATATATATATATATATATGTACATAAGACAAAAGGCCGGGATGATCTAAATGCTTATTGTTTCCATTAGGAGGGACGATAAATGCTTTCACAGGGTCGTTTATGACTATTGTTTTGCTTGCTAGAGAGACATTTTCAACACACATCCTTTTGAGAGGTGGCGGCCAGGGGATGAGGAACAAAATAGATGCAGCAGAGCCTGCCCATAATTCTGCAAGGCTCCACTCCTTTCAAAACCCACCATCCCACAGGTTAGGATATAAAAAAAATACTCGAAAGACCTATACTTCATGTTATAAATCAAATAGCTCGGCACCAAGCCCTGCTAGCGTTATGCGGCTTCTGGACATAAGGGGCATCAATATGGAAACATTTGTACAAAGGGTTTTCTCACATGAAATAGCTCAGTGTTCTTTTTACTCTTGAACCACCTTCACCGTATAGTTCATTCCACTGTTGAAGCTCGGTCATATTTACGGATTCAGAAGAAACGCTTGCACAGACCTGTTTCAATATCACAAAAGTTATTTTTTTATATCAAAAGGAGAGAGGGAGGATCTTTACATGAAAGAGATTTCCTTTTCATATATATACCTGTTGATGAGCATGTTTGAAATCTTCCATGTTTAAAGATCGGATATCTGCACTTCCACTTAATGCGGGAGCAGGTATACCTTCTGCTAGAGCAGCAGCCTGTTCCTGTCATGCATCAAATTATGCGTAAGTATAATTTATTCACGCAAGCTCAAACCACTGTGACTAAACTATCTTTATAATAAGAAAATAAATAAAATAAAAATAAAAATAAAAATGAAGAACTCATAAGTAACTACCCATACCTTTTTTTCCTTCTCTAATATCTCTTTAATTGGACGGTGTGCAGCAGTTACACACAAATTCTGCAATAAAAGAGCAAGCATGAAGGCACCCATAACTTAAAATTTAAAATAAGTTCGAAGTTAAAAAAACGTCCATGACCTTAAGATCACTTCCAGAATATCCATCGGTCATACTTGCAATTGCATCCATATCAAGACCAGAAGACAAGTCTTCTTTTGCCAGTATAACTTTCAATATTTTTGCTCTATTTGGAGCATCTGGCAAATTTACCATTAACCTGCAGAAGAACAATTTGATTAAGAAAACTTCGAATATTTATTAGTTTCATTAAGACCCCCTCTCTCTTCCCAATAAGAACAAGAACAAGGAATTGAAGTGCAGGTGAAAAGTTGAACATGGTGTTCACCTCCGAGGCAGCCTCCTTATGACAGCTTCATCTAGATCAAAAGGCCTATTGGTGGCTGCAAGCACCAGAACTCTCTCAGTATCCTTGGTGCGTAAGCCATCCCAATTCACCATAAATTCATTTTTCATCTTTCGCATGGCCTCGTGCTCCCCAGGATTTTCCCTCCTGCCCAACATGCTATCAACCTGTACCAGAAACCATACTAGTTTTCACTGATTTATTTTTCCGCTGATGAGTTAATACAAACAAAAATAATATGCAAAAGGCTTACTTCATCAACAAATATCACGCTAGGAGCAATTTTACTTGCCAGGGAAAAAACAGCTTTCACATATTTTTCACCCTCACCAAACCACTGAAGCAAAATTGGAAAACAGTTAAAATGAACAAATAACTGATAGCAAAGACATTAAAATAAACCCAGTGAAGCAAATTGAACCTTAGACGTGATACTTGACATGGAAATGTTGATGAAATTCGCACCAGCTTCAGTAGCAACTGCCTTTGCAAGCATTGTCTTCCCTGTTCCAGGAGGACCAAATAAAAGGATGCCCTTGCATGGCTGCACGGAAGTCATTCAGAAACACAAAATCCAATGGGTAAGAAAATTTGACAAGGGGTGGGCTAAAACATAACGTTACTTTAATACTTGTAATTATAACTAGTAAAAAATTCATTTCGATATTCAGGAAACAGCACCAAAGGTTCCTCTAAAACCAGTTTCTTAAAACTAATATCATGTGGAAACTTTTATGGAATCTTTTAATATCTTGTGGAGACGGCTATGCCACACATCATTATTAGGGCCAGATTATTTATTTTCCGTTCATCAGTCAAACACCAAAAAAAAGAAAAAAACTAGTGAAAAGCAGGGAAGGAAACAAGCAACAATAGAATCTAACTCCAACCAACTGTCAATAGACATAGGAATGCATGTTAAACAAAGTTAAACAGCAAATGAAACAGTAAAAATAAAAATAAATAAAAAAACTAGTGAAATGCAGGGAAGGAAACAAGCAACAATAGAATCTAACTCCAACTGTCAATAGACACAGAGGAATGCATGTTAAACAGTAGAATGTATTCAATCTGTAAAGTAAAACCTTGGTTAATTGCCCTCTGCAAAATAACTCAGGCCTTTGTAAAGGAAGCATAACCAATTCCTTTAATGTATCTTTGACATTTTCAAGAGCTCCAATATCATCAAAAGTAACACCTATGTCATTTGGTGGAATAACATCAACCAAAAGCCTCTTTTCAAACTCATTTTCTGTTACAATATCCTGATTTCAAAAACATAGAAGGGATATTCAGAATACAGTACTCATGAAATAAAATGGTTAAACTATAGAAACAGAATAATTTCCAAGCAGAAAGTTGGGAACAAAAGACTGGATGTCATTATCTCTCACAATCAAAGCAGCAAACGTTCATAACAACAACCTTTAGAGATTTCTTCAGGCTTTTTGACTCATTCTGGATAGACTGTAAGATCCCAATTCCATACTGGATGCTGGTAGATTAAAAAATAACTAATGATTAATAACATAACCTTGAAATATTTTATACCTATGTATATATATTAAATAACAAGCTGTGCAAGCTAATGATTACCTCTCACAAGACACTACAAGCTTTGCATCAGGATCAGTTTCGGCATTCTGCATGAGATGATGGCTTATAGCCCAACCAACTATCTTCTCAGCATCTGCAATATAGCAAAAATGATATAGAAGAGATTTAAGCAGTAAAACTTTGGGCACTTGTTGGTAGAACATACTTTCAATAGTAAGTGTTTGATCCTTAATGCACAAGGCTTCAAGTCCTTCACATTCCACCCCACAACGGCTCAAAACCTATAAATATGAGAAACAGTTTAGTACATCATGAAAGCAATTATGAGACAGCCACTTATAAATGTATAAAGCATGGTGAATTATTTTATGAGACAAAAAGAAGAAACAGAATCAAAGCTAAAACAATTGTTAGGAAACCAATTATAATGCTTCTATTTTTAAATATTGAATGAAACAGAGAAAAGGAGATGATTAATCTCCAACCAAGGGCTCCCCTTTCTACCACTTGCTCAATTCCGAAATGTTATAATAACTCAGAATACTCCCTCTTTTCCTTACATCCTCCTATTTATTTAACTAACCCCCACAAATTAACCCCTCTTTTCCTCTATAACAACTATAAACACCCAAAAATATACAATTTTTTTAAGATTTGAATCAGGCCTTTCCCTTATGTTGAAGTATTTATTAGATTAAGTGTATCTTGTTAGACCTAGTTCCTAGAATGCATCTGTTTATCTTCTCTAGGATTAATCATGTCTCTCTATTAATTGTATATCTGAATCTGTATTTTTATCTTCTATAAATAAGAGAACACAAGAAGATGATTTCAGGCTCTCAAAATCAGTTCTTTATTTTCTTTTTTCTATTTCAAGTTGGTATCAGAGCGGGTTCATCCCACTCTGCCTGTCTCTGTTTTTTTTTTCTGGCATTAATCGCCGTTCACCACCGTCCGCCACCGTCCGTCGTTCGTCGTCAGTGCTGTCTTCTCCGGCGCCTTTTTCCTCTCTGACACTTGGGTTTGGCTCGCCTCGAGGAGCGCGACCCAACCCCAGTGTTCGCTTCCTCTATCTCTGCCTCACGCACCGCCACGCGTGGGCCTCACGTGCCGCCCTCTCGGTGGCTGTTTTGCTCCAGGCCACCTCTATCCGGCTCACCTCGTCGCCCTGGTGCCAGATCTGCACTTTGTTTTGTGTTCTCGGTCACAAAACGTGGTGGGTCTGCGTTTTCCTCTCTCGGTCCTCTCTCTGACAGCACGCTGGTCCTTTCTTGTTTCCTGGAAAATGTCAGGACCTGTGTCTATATCTTTTTCTGGGACTCCAACTATAACCACAGAAAAATTAAATGGAAAAAATTATTTGTCTTGGGCTTCCTCTGTTGAGCTCTGGTTTCTAGGTCAAGGAGTTCATGATCATCTAGAAGAAGATGGAAGTACTATACCAGTAGATCAGGCTCCTCAATGGAAGAAACTGGATTATCAACTTTGTGCACTATTATGGCAATCTGTTGAACCACATATTTTGAGCACTCTTCGAGCCTTCAAGACATGTAATTCTTTTTGGAAAAAGGCTCAAAATATCTTTGCTAACGATATTCAACGACTTTATGATTCTGCTAATAGACTAGCCTCCCTTAAGCAAGAGGATAATTCCATGATGTCCTTTGTTGCTGAAGCTCAGTCAGCTGTTGAAGAATTAAAAATGTTCCTGGAGGCAGAATCATTAGAAAAAAGGAAGACGAAGCTGGATAAATTCTATATGGTAATGATTCTTAGGGCTATGAATCCAGAGTTTAATCATGTTAGAGACCAGATTCTAACTAGAGAAGAAGTTCCTTCTACGGAAAGTTTAATCACAAGGCTACTTCGTGTTCCTTCTATCAAAAGCAAAAACAGTCCGGAACTTGCTTATTCTTCCGCCATGATTTCTGCTCGTGGAAGAGGTAATCACAGCTCTAGAGGACGTGGTGGGAAAGGACGTCCTCAGTGCTCTCATTGCAAAAGAATGGGACATACTAAGGAAAATTGCTTTGCTCTGCACGACTTTCCTGATAAGGCAGCTAATACCTCAAAATCTGAAGTTGATGAGCCCAAGTTCTCTCATGAAGAGTATCAAGAATATTTAAGGATGAAATCAACCAATTTGGCTCAAGCATCTACAACACCAAATTCGTCAACTACTTGCATTTCGCAATCTGTGGAAAGTCAAAATCCATGGATTATTGACTCAGGTGCTTCTGACCACATGTCTGGTAATACCTCTTTATTTTCCTCTCTTTCATTTCCTAAAACATCCCATCTCATATCTTTAGCTAATGGATCTAAAGTAGCCTCTAAAGGAATTGGTCAAGTATCCATCTCTTCTTCTTTAAACCTTCAAAATGTTCTTTGTGTTCCTTCTTTTCCATTCGAGTCTTGTTTCGTAAGCCAATTAACCAAATCATTGAATTGCTCAGGTAACCTTTAATGTCAATTGTTTTGTTATCCAGGAACGTGGTACAGGTCGACTCGATTGGAGAAGGACGTGAATCTGAGGCTTATACTACCTTAGGACTAAGTCATCTGTATCTTGTGTTGCGTCCTTATCCCCAAAACTGTTACATGAACGATTAGGGCATCCTCATTTAGCAAAATTAAAAAAAATGGTTCCCGAACTTCGGAACCTTCAAACTCTTGAATGTGAATCCTGTCAACTAGGGAAACATACCAGGTCATCCTTTCCAAATCATTCTGAATCTAGATGTGATTCTCGCTTTTAGTATTGTTCATTCAGATATATGGGGACCTAGTCGTGTTTCATCTTTTGGTTTTAGATATTTTGTTACTTTTATTGATGGGTTTTCTAGATGTACTTGGGTTTATCTTATGAAAGATCGTTCTGAACTATTGTCTATCTTTAAGTCTTTCCTTAATGAAATCAAAACTCAATTTGGAAAAGTAATCAAAGTTTTACGAAGTGATAATGCCAAAGAGTACTTTTCTAATGACCTAAATTCTCAAGGCATTTTACACCAGTCCACGTATCCTCACACACCACAGCAAAATGGTATAGCAGAACGAAAAAATAGATATTTAGTTGAAACTGCTCGTACCTTATTGCTAGGTGCCAATATGCCTATTCATCATTGGGGAGATGCTATTCTAACTGCATGCTTTCTCATTAATAAAATGTCATCTTCTCTTGATAATAAAGTTCCACACTCTATTCTATTTCCAAAGGAACCAATTTTTCATGTTTCTCCTAGGGTATTTGGATGTATATGTTTTGTTCATGACATGTCTCCTGACTTAGATAAACTCTTACCTAGAGCTATCAAATGTGTCTTATTGGGGTATTCTCGTCTTCAAAAAGGATATCGGTGTTATTCTCCTGAAACCAAGAGGTACTACATGTCTGCTAATGTCACCTTTTTTGAATCATCATCCTTCTTCCCTTATTCTATGCAGGATATTGATTTTGTCCAAAATGTGTTTCCTGTTCCCTTAGTTGAATAAGTTGTACCTCCTATTCCTGACACCCCAAATCCCAACCAAAATACTCTAGAATCAGCATCACAGCCTATCATCACCTATCAACGCAGGAACCAGGTGAACAATCCCATTCCCCAAGATGAGTCATCCATAACAGGTCCTTCACCATCATCCTCTAATACCACGGCTCCTGATAACGATGACTCTAGTTGGCCCATTGTCATTCGTAAAGGTACTCGTTCTACTCGTAATCCTCATCCCATTTACAATTTTCTTAGTTATCATAGATTGTCTCCTTCCTATTGTTCTTTTATTTCCTCTGTCTCCTCTATTACAATTCCCAAAAATGTGGTCGAAGCGCTTGATCATCCTGGATGGCGGCAAGCCATGATTTCTGAAATGCAGGCTCTTGATCACAGCAAAACATGGGAGTTTGTTCCTCTCCCTTCGGGAAAGAAAACAGTTGGTTGTCGTTGGATCTATGCTATTAAAGTTGGGCCCAATGGTCAGGTTGATCGTCTTAAAGCAAGGTTAGTGGCTAAAGGGTATTCTCAAATATATGGACTTGATTATTGTGATACTTTTTCTCCAGTAGCCAAAATGACCACTGTCCGCCTGTTCCTTGCCATGGCCACCATTCGTCATTGACCTCTTCATCAATTGGATATTAAAAATGTTTTTTTGCACGGTGACTTAGAAGAAGAAGTTTACATGGAGCAACCTCCTGGATTTGTTGCTCGGGGGAGTCTCGGTTTGGATTGTAAATTACGTCGATCCCTCTATGGCCTAAAACAATCTCCACGTGCTTGGTTTGGAAAATTCAACTCTATTGTTCAAGCTTTTGGATTAAAACGCAGCTGAGCAGATCATTCGAGTGTTTTATTGTCACACTCGCCCTGGCAAACATGTTTATTTAATTGTGTACGTTGATGATATTGTTATCACAAGGAATGATGCTGCTAAAATATCTCAGCTAAAAGAGCACTTGTGTAGTCATTTTCAGACCAAGGATCTTGGAAATCTAAAATATTTTTTGGGTATTGAAGTAGCTCAATCAAGAGAAGGTATTGTCATCTCTCAAAGGAAGTATGCTCTACATATTCTAAAAGAGACAGGTATGATTGATTGCAAACCTCGTGGACGATCCTATGGATCCAAATTTGAAGTTAATGGCAGGACGGGGTGAAGTTTTCTCCGACCTAGAAAGATATAGAAGACTGGTTGGGAAACTTATTTATTTGACGATTACTAGACCTGATTTGTCTTTTGCAGTTGGTGTTGTCAGCCAATTTATGCAAGCTCCTTGTGTGGATCATTGGAATGCTATCATTCGAATCTTAAGATACATTAAAAAAGCTCCAAGACAAGGATTATTATATGAAGATAAGGGAAATACCCAAATTTTTGGGTATTGTGATGCTGACTGGGCTGGATCTCCTATGGATAGGCGTTCCACTACAGGCTATTGTGTTTTCATTGGAGGAAATATCATTTCATGGAAAAGCAAAAAGCAAAACGTTGTTGCCCGATCCTCTGCTGAAGCTGAATATAGGGCAATGGCGTCTCTTACTTGTGAACTTGTTTGGGTAAAACAATTCTTGCAAGAATTGAACTTCTGTGAGATTCAATCTATGAAGATGTATTGTGATAATCAAGTTGCTCTTCACATTGCTTCCAACCCAGTGTTTCATGAGAGGACTAAGCATATTGAGATTGACTATCATTTTATTCGGGAGAAGTTGTTGACTAAAGAAATTTGTTCTGAGTTTGTTGGTTCCAATGAGCAGCTTGCAGATGCATTAACAAAATCTTTGAGAGGACCTTGAATGGAATTCATTTGTTCCAAGCTTGGTACATTCAATTTGTATGTTCCAGCTTGAAGGGGAGTGTTGAAGTATTTATTAGATTAAGTGTATCTTGTTGGACATTTATGAGATTAGTTGTAGATCTAGTTCCTAGAATGCATCTATTTATCTTCTCTAAGATTAATCATGTCTCTTTATTAATTGTATCTCTGAATCTGTATTTTTATCTCCTATAAATAAGAGAGCACAAGAAGATGATTTCAGGCTCTCAAAATCAGTTCTTTATTTTCTTTTTTCTATTTCAAGTCCTTATAAATATTCTAATTCTCTGAATCCCCCTTCCATCCTTATTCTAATCTATTTTTTTAACTACTACCCCCCAACAAACTAACTAATCCCTTCCCTTGGAACATGTAGCCCTAACTTTTCCTGTTTAAATCTCCCTTCCCTTGTGTCTAAACCTGCCCGTATACATATCCATAGACATTATAGACAAAAAAAGGTACTCTATTTCCTAGGCTGAGTAATTGCGTGCTATGTTCTAAATACAAATTCCTATAAAACTAAATGCATGCTATTCTAATAATGTCCTAACAATAATATGTAGCTGCATGTGAAACTCCAACAATTTCTAAAAGAGACAAGGAATTAACTTCGGGAAACTATAATGTCAGCATTAATACTACACCCAGACTCCTCAAGAGCAGGCTTAAGTTCCATTAAGAAACTTACATAATTCCTAACTCTACATATAGTTCACACCACATAATTCCTAACTCTTCATATAGTTCACACCACTTTATTTCTTTTTCTTTATGGGCCATGCTCTCACCCCTCTATTTTAAGTCCATAACTTATGCAGCTAGTAATAAGGGTACTAGGCGAATGATAGAAGGTTCCACTAGAGCAACAACAGAAGTAACACTAAAGAATAAGAACTGCAGAACAACGACGTAGTATACTGCAGCCCCTAACCCCCACTTTGTCACATCAGATATAAAATTGGACCAAAAGACACAACATTTAAGATCATATAGAAGACTAAATCATGAATAGCTATTCTTGGAGATCTCACGTCGACTTTAGATCTGACTGATTTATAATATATAATTGAGGTGCTTATAAGATTGAGTTAGACACCTCTATTTTTAATGTGATATTAGAGTCTATCCTAATAAGATTTGTTGGCCTATCACTTCACCCGTAATCGGGCAGCTGTCAGACCATCCCTTAATATTCAATTCTACCCTCTCAAGATGTCCACTCCTCAACATGAGAGAAAGTGTTGGAGATTCCAGACCAACTTATAATCAATATTTTTAAATCCAACTGGTCATTGAACTGATGAACACGAGTTCAAGGTATAAATGTTCAACCGAGGTCCCCTGGATTTAATAAAATAATATTTTATAATATAATTGTTGGAAGTCCTACATCGCCTGTCTTATATCATTTGGTATGGTTTAAATACATGTTAGGCTACTCCACATATCGCCAATTGATTTTATGTTGGAACCTTAACATGATATTAGAGTCAAAGCCTAACATCTTTCCGGTTATTCTTGGGCCAAGAGTTGTCCTTTCGTTGTGGGTCAAATGTACCCTTTGCCTGGTTCGGTAGACTTCGTTGGAGGGGACATGTTGGAAGTCCCACATCGTCCGCCTCATGTCATTTAGTATGGTTTAAATACATGTTAGATTACTCCACATATGGCCAATTGGTTTTATGTTGAAACCTTAACAATAACAAATATATAATAAGTTGATTAGAAATAACACTTTTTTACAAAATAAAGAAAAATAATGAAAGTTAGTATCATAGTCACCGTGAGTTACATTGAAGATTATAAGTATAAAATATATTAGAGAGGGTAAGATGAATAATAGTTAAAGATTAAAACACAATAAAGTAATTATTATTTAAAATTGATGTAACTAATATGAGATAAAAAGAAAAAAAACTAAAATATATTATATCTTTTATAAAAAAATTGATCTTAAATTTTTTTCTTCTACCAAAATCGGTTCAACCAAAAAACTTAGCCGGTTTTTCCGGTTTCACCAATTTTGTACTGGTTCCAATTTAATTATAATTTGGTTATTTAGAAGCATCAAACTGGTTTCTAGATTGGTTGAACCGGCCAATCCGGTCCAATTTTCAAAACCGTGCTTATAATATATAACTGAAGTGCAATCATCATCTTACAAGCCAGTTTTATAGGATTGAATTAGACACCTCTTAATTCCTAATAGTTATAATTGCATTTCTGATATCCAAAGATACAAACCTAAAATTATTTTTAAACAATAACCCTAACAATAAATGTGTAGCCACATAAGAAATGACATGATATGGAATGATTGTGTATATGAGAAAATATTACAGCAGCACTGATTGTGTAAAAGATGATAGTAAATCAGTTAACGTGGACTTTTAGAGACATGCATAGAAGGCCAGTGAAAGCACCAATGAGAAAATTGGAAGCCTGTGAAACTGATGAGAGGGAAGCCTAGAAGAATATTGGAAGAATTTGCTTCTCATGGTAAAGATTATTCGTAAAAATTTGATCTTTAATAGTCTAATATAGCCAACATCACTTGGTATAAGGCTTTTATTGTTGATGGCAACCGCCTTATAAGGTTGCCAGAACAAAGGATTTTCCAAATAGCAAAAACATACAGGCTTGGCGTGTGTGTGTATATATATCAGTGAAGACAACCACATTTAACATTAATTTGGAAATAATATCAAATTTATGATGAGAAAATACATTGAAGCTTCCTCTTCAAAAACATAACTTATGTAACAATGACTTCTCTGTGTGGATAACACCTAGGGATGTCCAAATAGATGGGCCCATTTGAAAAATCCCGAAATATGTGTAAAACTAAACCAAAAAAATTACAACCTAAATTAAATCAGGTCAATTTTAACCAGGTTTATGGCTTAAATGGACTAAACAGGCCTAAATGAACTAAACCAACCCAGATAGATTTATGATTAGTCAATTTATAAAATAATAATTATTTTTAAATTAAAATAACATTATTTTATTAAAACACATATATGTATAATAATTTATATATTAAATTATTATATCTAAACTTAATATTAGTTTCATTAATATAACAAATTTTAAAAATATATTTTTTAATTTTAAATATTTTTATTTAAAAGATAAATAATTTTTTTATTTTGAATTAGTCTTTTTAGACAAATTGTTTTTATATTTACAACTAGACCACAAATTGTCCATTTGTCTAACATAGGATCAGAAAGAAAATTATAACCATTTTAAAATATAACTTAAGTTGGTTCTTCAATTTCTTTTACCTCCGATGAAACCAGACTAATTCAGACAAACAACCTGTTTTAATATCCCTAATAACATCTAACAAAATTTGGCTTAGACACTTTAGAACAAGAAGTTGAAATATATCATATCCAGTAGGATTCAGTCCCCTCTAAAATGAGCAAGTGCACAAACAGTAAGCTGAGAAAGTACAGGCCATCATTCATTTAAAGTTAGATGCATTTATGAGGTATAAAATCAACAAATGCATCCTTGTTTTCTCACTTTACACACTTGCTCACTTCAGAGGAGCTAGATCCAGGTCAATTAAAGGAAGTTAGTAGCTCAAAAATTATACCAAGTGTCTTGTACAAAATTTACTTAGGTCCAGAACAACCAATTTGTCTTATAGCAACAGTTCCATGTCACCATTTAAATATAAAACCAAACATATCGCACAAAAGTAGTTTTTTTGGAAAGGCATCCAATGGATAAAATAGTGTCCATAATTAAAAAGACTCAAAATCAACAAAAATAACATTTTTGAAAACCAAATATAAGGTGTTAGGATAAATAATAATAACAAGAACAAAAACAACAATATAATGTGTTACCATGAAACAAATTGAAGTAAAATTACAAGCTCAGCTCAAGCAAGAACTTACTGTTCGTAAATTGTGCAAATTCCCTTTAATTTTAAGGGTCTCGACATCTCGATCAAGTTGCTGCTTCCAAGATGCTAGAAGTCCTTCATCCTTTATCAGGAAACAAACACTGAATATTGTTAGACATAAAACAATTCATGTAACTTTGCCCCACATTTTGAATTTTTTATTCTTAACAATTCATGGTGATGAGTTCAATCCTTGGCGCTCCCATTTTTCAAAAACTGAAATTTATAATTATACATCAGCATTATCCATGCTTTCAAGCCTAAGGGATTTTGCATAAGGGAAATGTAAAGTATAAAACTATTTCATATACCTTCACCAACAACTTGAACATTTTGGTAATTGGTTTGTAAATTATATTATGTAAATAGAGAACAAAAATGATGACATACAAACCTGTGGCATGTGAATTGTTACTTTATTTGGGAAAAGCTTAGTTAAGGTTTTGTTTGGCTTTGGTACCTCCTTTCCCCTGTCATGCAATCTTCCAAAACTATCCTAAAAGAGAGAAGAGATGTTATTGAGAAAGCCTAAAAAGGACAAGCAACTATATACTGGTAAATCTTGTTTTGTTCTTTCAAATATAAAAATTATACTCAAAAGGAGATGATATTCTTACAGGGAAAGCCAAATCAAGAAGAGCAGTCTGATTACTTCCGAACTTTGTAAAAAGCAAACCCCCAGGATGTGACTGCAAGAAAAAAATTATTAAAAATCATTAACATAATCGCTTATACACATTCATTCAGACCAAGCATGAGAGGATAATACGAAGGATTATTTACTTAGGACATACAATTTGTATCTTACTTTGACAATGCATATCTTTCTCAGTTTCTCAGTTAATAAAATATAACCAGATATATAAAGCCCACAGCTATGAAAATTACAGATCAGTTGGAAACTGATAAATTCAGGTACCAAAACCAAATGATATTGCAATAAAATATCGCTCAATTTTCTTACCATGGGCTGATAAAATCTTTTGTGAATTAGTATACACACGATGGATAACACCATTCTAGCCTTAGCATTACAAAGAACAAAATCATTACCTTCTCCTTACGACTGTCAGTGTGAGTGTGTGAACCTATAACCACCACATTGTCAGGAAGATTTTCAAGCCTACTTTTAAATGAAAATGGATCTCCATTTCCTACGATAGACTTCTCTGCATCTTTCATGAACAAAATGAAGGGTTCATTTCTGCTCTCACTAACCACGACCTGAAAAAAATATGCATAAACTCTTATTGTAACATTAACAGACAATATAATATTGAGAGGGAAATTTTACTAGATCAGAGAGTTGAGTAAAAGGCGACCTCAAATAATGTATTAATGAGTAATTTGTCGAGCTCTTCAATGCCACTGTTTTCCAACCGAAGATCAGTCACTGGAATGGGAAATAGGCGGATAATTTATAAGAACTCAAAATATCTAAAAAGATAATTTATAAGACAGATAAGGCATTACCATTGCAGAAAAATCCTTGACCGCCCTCACAGCAGCCTCCGAGATCAACTCCATCAGGTATGGGTTTATCAAATCTAACACCAATTTTTGACAAGGGATTATCATCAAAAAGTAAGACAACCTTTCCCCGACTTCCATTAGTTGGACCCCTGTATATGCAATTGCTGAGCATAATTATAACCAAAAATAAAAACAATTTACTTTATTATTCTTAATCACACAATCCAAAAATATCATTTTGGTGAAACTGAAAGCAAGCAGTAAATCACTAGGAAAGTTTGCCAATCCACTTTTTTTCCCTACATTTATATGACTACTAAAAAGAAAGAAAAATAATTTCTAATACATCCCTCTTATTTTCCTTTGTCTCATTTATTTCGTACCCCATTTCTCCCTAAGCAAACCAAGAATGGATAGATATAGAATAATGTGTATGCAGATACATATATAGTAGCTTTGGCATTGGCAATGACTGAAGTTGAAGTATCATTATCTCCCAAAGTGGTATAGTTCACTTGTTGTCAAACATATATTGTATCCACACAAAAATCATATTTTGTATAACAAATTATATGAAGTGATATGGGTTACCATGTTGCAATCATGACTTGTGATAGACTACAATATGACTGTTAAATTTTATAACACAAATTACATCTGCCACACCAGTATACTACTATATCATGTACAAAAAGTTAGATATGCACATGTAATCCTGATAGACAGCTTATTCTGTAGTTAATGTGATAAAAGCAAAAGGATGTGCATAACAATTGTATCAATGAGATCGTGTGAAACAGAAATGTCAGAACAACTTAACACAAACTTGTACCGTGAAGAAATTGTCTGAAGCTGATACATTCCCCCAGAAGATGAACTGTATTTTACCCTGTCACCTGAAGAATTATATATGAAAAACATCAAACTTTGTGATAAATTAATGCTCCTTAAATGGAGAAATGAAGCACACATACCTAGTTTAAACACACAATTTTTAGCTGTTCCAGAGGTAGATGGTATATTATCAGCTTCCAACTTAAGTTGAGACTCAAAACCATATGGAGTAGCTGCATTTGAAGAGTTAGGTGTATCTGGTTCACTAGTTGGTGTATCCATGCTCCTAGCCATGTCTGCAGTTATCAGACTTTGTTTAGCACTAGCATTAGATCCATCTTTGAGGAGCTCAGCTTCTTTGGAAGTTAAACCCTATAACATATTAACACACAACAAATGAAGATTCATTACCCGTGTTGACAATAAAAATTATACTTTAATGACACATCAATGAAAAAGGTGTTCATGGATTAATCCAAATAGCAGACCAACAAGAAAACTTTATCTTACACCCAAAAGTGAATGGCTATCAAATATGAGCAATTTAGCTCCAAAGTGTTTTGCAAGTGCTTTTGCCAACATCTCCTGATATATTTCTGACCCTGCAAAAGAATGGCAATTGAGAGAAACAATGAGTTGAAAAGAAAGAAGTCAGAACCAAAACAAAATCATTAGAAAAGAGCAGATATGGGAGGGAAGTGATGCAATTCGCACACACCTGCAGGTCCTGAAAGTAGAATCCGAGGGTTTATGGTTGTAAGATCTGTTGTGTACTTTGCATGTTCTTTATGCTTCAGGTGTATAAAGCAAGCTGCAATTAGAACATTTTTTGTATTCTCACTGAAAGAAGATATAAGTATGATCAGAAATGCAAGTAAAAAAATGCAAGGAAAACACAAATAAAAAATCATCTTGAACTCTTAATTTTGCATAAAAAAGAAGAACCTATAATAAATACTTCACACTCTTTATTTTAAATTGTGGAAAATATCACATGATACATGGAACAATTCATGATAGCACCCACATAAACTGATAAATTGAAGATCATATAGCAGCAATGCAACTGAATTCAAAATTTACAACCACATGTCATGCCACTGCCATGTCCTACCAATACACATTAGAAGGAAACGAAAACATCATGAAAAGATAAAGCTAAAATAAGGATTTTGAACCATAGTTGATAAAAGGCAGCACCAAAAATATGTAGCCAACCACATACAACAAATTCAAATACAAAACAGAAAAATGAAGCAAGTATAGAAGAGAAGTGAATAAATTATATACAAATAAAGCAACTGCCTCTATAACCCCTGTGGCATGATCTCGTTTCAATTCACCTAAATATTATTCTAGATAAATGTTCTCATATCATCATATATAGTGTTTCTTTAACAATCAACATTTACGTTCCATGCTTCAGCTTTCAACGCATATTGTAGTGTAACTGAAAACTTTCCATCAGTATTTAGTAAAATATATTGGGTGAATAAAGAAGGCTGCAAGGTTTTTCTAAGATGAAGGGTAAACTAGGTGTTGATTTCAAAAAAAAAAAAAACTTGGGTTTGCAGGAAGGACCAGTTTGAGAGCTCTTCATTACTGACCTTACATGAGAAATACAAGTTTAGAGGGGGGAAAGGAAATTATAGGGCTGGGTTAGAATTGAATTAAAGATGACCGTTTGTATATCATCTAATAACAGAACACGATGGTGTCATTTGATTCATGTACCTGAATTCACATGGAGGGAACAGACTTTAATTGTCATTATAGTTGTTGTCATTAACTATGGCTTATTGAAATAAGCAAACTAAAAAGGATGAAAACCACTTACTATAGAATTGTAAATCATACAAGCATATTGTACTAATTAATGTCTGAGATATCATTTGCAAATTTTTAGACTTGCTGATTCAACTTAGTCGCATGGAACCTTTGTTAGCAATGTAGCTCTAACATGGTAACGTCTATATCTATTTTGTATAGGATATCAAAATTTCCATTTATACAAAACAAAACTGTAATTGTTACATAAAAATGATTTTTTTATTTTATTTTAGAGAAGCGATTGTGTGTTAAATGAATCTGTAGGAAACAAATGTACATAAAATGTGCAACGGGAATTATTTTTTAATGAGAGCATAATAAGAAGACACATGAAGGAAAAACAAAGAATGACAAAACAAAGGCAAAAATGGTTGAATTGACTAAGATATCCACTAGTTATACCTTAGGTAGTAAGGGAAATTGTCAAAAGACACTTCTATTTCTTTCCCATCCAATATTGCAGCATGAACATCCTCTTTAAAAACTGCACTGCGAACAGAAGTACCCGAAGTTGATGCAGCTTGCGCATCCCTCGTCCCATGTCTTTCTTCGAATACCTGTTTAAAGATACTTTTGCTCAATTTCACTTTACAAGTAGATCCAGCTAGAATCCTGAAGAAAGGCCCTAGGAAAGCATTCACCCCAGAGAATTTTACATTGCCTGCCTCTGCGCCTGCATCATCTGGATCGCAATCCATAGGCAAATTCTTGTCACTTGCACCAACTTCAGCAGCCTTATCTGTCGCTACATTTGGAGCTGAGTTGCCTTCCACATCGAGCTCAGTCTCTGTACCATCAGGGAGAACAGAGTGACTAGGAACATCCGTACCCTCCTGAGGTTTACTGGCTGTCTGAGATGGAGATTTCCATCTCGTAAGATCCGGTCTGAGGCTAGAAAGAGAAGCCAGAATAGAAGCTCCAGCCACCGCTGAAGGGTCTCCAGCTCTCCTTTCAATCTGGAAAAACTTGCCGACGCCACCCTGAATTTCTGCAGCCTTAACTGCAACTTCGGGATTTATTTGCTGAAAAATCTAGGTCAAAACATATCAAGGAACCACATGCAGAGAAAGATAGAAAAAGACATAATAACTTAATACAAGGAAGCAAATGGAAAAATTTGATGATTCTCATTAGAGGGGAAAAAAAGTAGTAGGAAAGACTGACAACATATTCGAATTCAAAATGTGCAAAAGGATACATATGAATGATTCCCAATCAAACCAAAAGCCACCTCGTCCCCCGAGTTAAGCACACAGCTGGTACTCTTCTTGACGAGCGTCCCATTCACTACCACCGATCCTTTGCTACCCGTACTTTCTAGCACAGCCACAGCACTTCCCTCGCGCTGATCATTTCCAGAAACAACAGTAATCATACTGCACATACATATCCTACGATATTTACCTCAAACAACTATAAAGAAAAAAAAAAAAAGGAAAGAAGCAAACCAAGTACACACACATCCGCACCAGCATTCGCACACATCTCAAACAACAACCCAGTAAAAAAGAATATTAGCTAGTGTCGAGGTGTGTGCTCGGAAAAGAAAAAAAAAACTAACCCTTCCATTCCACGCACAATCACAAACTCCCTGAGATGTATGTACCTGCGTGTGCTTGATCCTGCACAAATTTCCACTTATAGTCTGATCCTTCAACGGGAAATTGCAACTCCTACTAGACCCAATAGTGAAGTTGGCTGTGCAAATTAAAACATTCGGATTCTGCAGCAATAACAAAATTAAATTCCAAGTAAACAAATATTTTGCAGTGACCCCCAATTTCACTCGGAAATAAAAATTACAAAAAAGTTAAAATATTAAACAGATTACCTGCGCAGATTGTGACAAGAGTCTGCACCAGGGAACTGAAGCTTCGAAATTCGGGTTTTGCTTTTGATATATAGCCCAAGAAGAGAACGAACCCCTAGGTTTATCAGCAACCACAGTCGGTGTAGAACCTTCACACGACAAAACATCAAAAAAATAAAAAATAAAAATAACAAACTTGAAGATGAAAAAAGTGTGAGCAGCAAAGACGAACCATCGGCGATCGGCGGCGTGGGGTCGTCCTTGCCATCGGGATTGGTGGCGCCGGCGATCTGAGCGTCCCGAGATTCGCATTCTCCGGGATCAGCCGGGGGCTCCGGCATCCCCAAATCCTTGGAATTTTCCGCCGGCGGCATCGGTTTCTCCGAGGCGGGAGCAACATTGTCGACCTGAGAATAATCTCGGAGCGAATCAAAGAGGAGAATCGAGCGAAAAATAGGGATTATTCAAAGAAAGGGGAAACGAAAAGGCAAAACCTTTTGGCGCTTCGGGGAAGGAGAGGGAGTTTTGTCTTCTGAAGAAGAAGGCCTCTTGTTGCCGTTGGAGAAAGATCCACTGTTGCGTCTCGTTGAAACCATGCTTCTTCTTCGTTCTTGCTTCGTGTTCTTCTTCTCGTTTCGTTTTCGCTTCAACGACAGACACACACAGAACAAGAAGAGAGAGAAGAAAGAAAGGGTGATGCGAATGAGATGAACAGTTTTGCAAAAAAAAAAAAAAAAAATCTTTTTAATTAGTTATGGTTATATAGATGAGTGTGTCATCATGTTATTATTAATTAATAATTAATTTTCATAATTAATTATTAAGTGTTTGATTAATTGATGTGTTTTTTTTTGTTTGCTTTGTCTTTTTATTACCATTATGCCGTGTCTGCTTCTGAGTTCGGTGCACAGCACCCCACAATAGGCGCAGGTTAGCATTGTGCCCGTTGATTGGGACATGTTGGTCGCGCAGGTCGCGCAGTTTAACGTGGTGACTTATACTGCGCCGGGGGATTTGCTTCGTTGTTCGAGACTTCGAGCTACCCAACGTTTTCCTTATATCTACGAGAAAAAGATAACAAAATGCCTTTACACACTTTTCATTTCATGGATTAAACATTTTTTTTCTATCAGCAAATTCCAAAAATGGAAAATTTATATGTGAATTAGTCTGTATGGGTTTAATCTCAACTTTATTTCAATGATGATTGTAACTTTTATTAGATAAAGAAAATATTAAATTCTTAGTCATGATCCAAGATCTCCTTAGTGTTTTTCTATTTATTAGATAAAGAAAAAATTAAGATAAAAAAAAAGAGAAAATTCATCTTTATATTCATTTGCATAATTTAATACAATTAGAGTCTTTGAGATTTTTTTCTATTCTCATATCAATGGTTGTTGTTTTATAGACGTAGATTAGTGTTTTTTTTTTCATTAATATCGAATAGAATTTTGATTTTAGATAAGATAACTAGTAATTTATATGAGTTATTTTTTATCTTCATAAATATATTTCATTGTTAACCAATATCTCATTAGAATTCTTTTTAATAAATTTTAAAAAAAACTCATTCTTTTTCTTACTTTCTTCATTTACTTTATTTTGTTTATTTTTATAAATTATTTGATAAAATTATTATTAAAAAAATTTAAGCAACTTAACATACTTATTAAGCATAATAAACAATTCTCATTGAAGGTGTTCAATCATGATGTAAAAAAAAAATTATTATTAAAATAAAAATATAATTTAATTAGACATTATTAATTATAATAAATATGTTGGTATTACATTAATTATTTTAAAAATTATACTTGCCATATATATATATATATATATATATATATATATATATATAATTTTTATAATGTAAAATTTACATTAACAATCATAAAAGTAAAACTCGTATAATTATAATTATACAAATTTAGTTTAAATGACGAATAATTTTTAAAAAAAGTTAATTTAATTAATTGTATTTCTAATTTAAGTGAAATCAGTTTTACTAATATTCTTAATTTATTTTATATTCAAATACTTTCCGGATTTAGGAAGAATGTGTGATAGGAAATAATTTTGCAAGGAATATTTTTAAAACATAAAAAATTTAAGTATAGAAATTTAAACGAAAAAGTTATGGTATCTTTAATTTTAGTAAACAATTTATAAGATTCAAACACAATTTAATTATATAATTTCTGAAAAATTTAAATAAACTTTATAATTAAACAATTAAATAAAAGTTTATTAAAAAACCTTATTATTTAACGTGAAAATATTTAAAATTAAAATAACGTAATTACACATAATTGATATTTTAAAATTAAAATTATATTTAAATTTTCATAGATTAAATTTTATTTTTTTAAATATGTATAAAAATTCAAACAAATCAAAATATTAAGTAAGAATATACATAATAATATTGAAAGATTATTTATTAAAAATAATAATTATATATACATATATTTTTTCATTATTAATTTTAAAAGATACTAATATAAACGTAACTAACTTTATTATAGTAATATTTATATTAATAAAAATCTTGTTGCTACAGTAAATTATTTATAATTTTTATTCTTAAATTTAGACAAATATGCATAAATCTTATATTTTACTCTATTATTTTCGAAATAATTTTTACAATTTAATATTATTTATAATTTTTTTTAAAATATAAATGTTTATAAAATATTAAAAGTTTATTTTCAATTTATATATAAATTTATCTTAATTTTAATTTATTGTTTATTCATTTTATGAAATAATTATTTAATATTAAATTATATTTCAATTTTAATTTATATTTACTTTTATTAAAATTACACAAAGTTATTTTTTTATTCGTTAATTTATTCTATACTTTTTTAATTAGTAAAAATAATTTTATCTTTTATTATTATTTTTATTATTTTTCACTCATGTTCCTCTAATTAGAACAATCTCATTTTTTTTCATTCCTTCAAGTCCCCTCATAAAAAAAAGTTTTAACACGTACAAATACACAAATTTTGAAAAATATGTTATTGGTTATCAGTTTATAACTAATAACATGTTTTTACACTCTTCTATATATTTTTGTACATGTTGATATTTTATTTTTGTACATAATATTTAAATATAATGCTTTTCTATAATTATTTTCATCTTTCTATTACTTTTTATCTTCTTTCACCCATTTTCCTTATACATATTTGTGCGTTCCTGCATGACCGTTGCATTTTCTTCTCATACAAAATGCAAGGATTATAGAGAATATGAAAATCATATTCTATTATGATATTAGAGTAGTTTGCCATACATAATTAATTATGAATCTTATTCTTTTTGTTATAATTACATTTTCTTGAAAGTTCTTTATAATAAAAAATATAGCGAATACAAGTCTAGATGGTATGAACAATCCCTAGAATATTTTAAGTCCATATTACTTACATATGAGAGAAAATCCTGGTATGATATTTGTCAATTAAAATGGAGGAAACTACCATGTCTAAAATAGAGCTATGAAGAGAGTCTTACTATCAAAGACTAAATAGAGGTTTGTAGATGGAAGTATCACTATGCCAGCCCAAAATGATCCACTATTTGAAGCCTAAAAGTGTTATAATATGATGAGAATATCTTGAATCATAAGAGTTGTAAGTTCTCAAAGTACTATATACATAGATCATGTAAGAGATCTTTGGAATGATTTGAAAGAGAGATGTTTTAATGACGATTATTTTAAAATCTTATATATTTTGCAAGAAATTCATCCAACCAAATAAGTAGAAAAAAATATTTTTGAATATTTTAGAGACTTGAAAATTTTATGAGAAGAATTAGAATCTTTAAGGCATGCACCTACTTGTTTTTGTTAGATAAAATGCACTTGCAGTCTTGTTAAGATATTGACAAAACATATGTTGATGAAGAGGGAAGATATTTGAAAAATCTCTTTTTGATGATGTCAAACGATAGATAGTTAGTTGGTATAGTTAGTTTGTATAAAGCCAAAATAATCTAAACTTTAAAAGTAAAAATAATCAATTATGTTAAAACTAAAGCGCTAATAATTGATTAAATAAAGGGTTAATCGATTATATGACTTAAAATTAAGTTTTCATAAGACACACTAATAATCAATTATGTGGTCACTTAATCGATTATTTGCCAAAAAATTTGTTTTAACACAATGCGCTAATAATCGATTAGATAAATGGTTAATCGATTATATGACTTAAAATTAAGTTTTCATAAGATGCGCTAATAATCAATTATATGGTTACTTAATCGATTATTTGCCAACAATTTTGTTTTAACATAACGCGCTAATAATTGATTATGTATGAAAGAATTAATGGTTGAGTTCAAGAGGGGGGGTGAATTGAACTTAAAAACTTTTTCACAAAACTTTACTTTCTTTTGGAAGAATGAGTTATCTTTATTCAATTCTTGAAAAGATGATTTGATTTAAAACACAGCAAGATTATATTCAGAATTTAAAAGAGATGATAGAAAGAAATCAACACACAAATTTATACTGGTTCACTCTAATCCAGAGCTACGTCCAGTTCTTGACAAAACCTGTCAAGTTTCCACTAATACCAAGTGACAATTACAACCCGTAGATCCTCACCAATCTACACCAAGAACTATCTTTTCAACCTATAAGATAGAATCTTGAAAAACACCCGAGTAACCAAATCCAATTCATTGTACCAAGTGTAGATTACAATCCAATCTACACAATTCACACGATACAAAAGAATAAGGAAAGAAGAAACCTGGACTTTGAATTCTAATTGCCCAACACCAATTCTAAAGCACTCTCTCGTCGTGAATGACCACAATGTTGATCAAAGCACCTTATGATATGACAAAATCTTGAATGCAGAGAGAAAAACGTAGATGAACGATTCACAGATTGATTTCTCAAGTTTTCTCAAGTAGTGTGTTGTATTGTATATTCAAAAGATGGATCAAATCTGTATATATAGAGTAAATCGAAAAACGAACGTTTCATCTGTTAAAAACTGTTTTAGAGAGTCAAAAGATAAGTTGGTTAGCAAGAAAACAGGTTTAGAAGAGAATCTGATCGATTAGAAGCTGAAGTATGATCGATCAGATCGAGTTATGATCGATTAGAAGCTGAAGTATGATCGATCAGGCAGAGTTATGATCGATTAGAATGAAACTATGATCGATCAGAATGTTATTTCAATCGATTAAAAGATCGATTCAATCGATTGATTTCATTTAAAGTTCCTTTTAATCGATTAAGACATCGATTCAATCGATTGATTTCATTTAAAGTTCCATTTAATCGATTGATTCGAGTTTTAATGGATTAAAACAACTTAATGAAAAATGACAAGCACTCTGTTTCAACAGATTGAAAAATATTTCAACAGATTGATTTTCTAAAAACTCTTAGACTTAAAAAATATCTTTCTTTTTCAACAGATTAAAAAGTATTTCAATTGATTGTTTTTCCGAAACCTTTATATTGAGAAATTTACTAAGTTATTTTAACTTGTTGATTCTGCGAATCAATCAATTGAAAATACGATTATATAGAACCACTTATTCTGTTAAGTGATTTTAACCGATTGAAAATCTTTTTCAACAGATTGAAAAACTTAGTTTGTTCTTTTAATGCAGAAAATGATTTTCAATGCTATGCAGAAGATTAAGGCGCTTCATCACAACATATAATGGCCTATCAAGGGATTAAGTGCTCAAGCTAAAAACCTAATCATCTACACACCCACAACCTAAACTAAATTTATGTCTTCATCAAATTATATCTAAGTCTTCATCAAATCCACCAAGTGCTTCAATCTCCCCCTATTTGATGGAGACAAATAACCACTGCACCTGCATAAAATCAGACCAGAGACATGCATACCAGAGACATATAATTTGTGATGTGGTGTGTGTGTAGTGG